CCTTCTCAGAGAGGAAGCTTAAACTAAGACTTGTTTATTTTTCCAGTGATTAAACCACCTTTTTTTTGGTTGTTGTTGTTTGTTTTTTTTTTGTTAAACACAGTGGTGGTATTGTTGCCCTTTTTCTCCTTTCCTCCAAGCCCTCCATTGTTTCTGCAAGCTTACTTTACTGTGTGAGAACCAGCAGAGACATTCTGCAAATTCTCAGCTGTTGAGCTGAGTATGGTTTTTCCAGAGTGGGATGCAGGTTCTGGGTTCACTGCTGCTGATTTAATAGTGGGGGACAGGTGGGGTTGCTTTGCACACCCTCTCCCTTTCCTCCTCTCCATTTTGAGTATATATTTGTACATTATATACAAGAGAGCATATAAAAAACCTGTGCCTGGCACAGAAGCCGTTGTGCTGTTGGAGAGATCATTTGTGCTGCCATTTAGCTCAGCATTAGGAATATTTCCTGGAGRTTTTCAAGGCMCTGCCATTCMTAAAYGTACTCWTAGAGAGAAAGGAGCATCTCTTACMATCAGACTGACCCGTGAGTGGAATCAGGCTTATGAGACTTAGCAAATGCTGTGTGGTTTATATTATTACAAGTGAAAATTTCTGATATGTAGCAGGAAGAAATCCATGAAGTTCTGCTCTGTTTCAGTCTGAAGATAAATAATGCATTGCGTGCTGTGCTTGGTTAATASTGTGGGACAAGATTTGTACAGAAACAATTATCTTTTAGAGAATAGTACAATATTTTTTAACAGTATCATAGAAACATAGTATTTACTYCACAACTTGCATAAACAACTTTTACAAAATATGCATGGGCTTATTAGTGGTTTTTTTGTGAAGTGCAGAAATAAGTGCTGTACTTAAGTATGAATTTACCTGAAATAGTCCTGAGTTATCACTGGACAGCTGTTACTGGCCTGGAAACTTGCACTAGTGTTCTTCAATGGGCATTTTGTAACCCACAGTCTTTCTGTCATTTTGCCTTAAGGTCGGTGCTTTTCTTGGGGAATGCCTTAGATTCAATGAAGCCTCTTGTTTGATGGAAAGCATTCACACACATTTGCAGGCAGAACATCAGCCTGGTACTTGGAGGTTTTCACCAAGAAAAACGTCACCTCTCAGTATTGTTATCTCTGATTGAAATGGTGTGGTATCAGTAGTAAAACAGGATGTGACATCCAATGTGATGGGTCCTTCAGGCAGCTCACACAACTCTGCTCATGATCTTATTCTTTCATAAGCTGCCCTGTAAAACCATACCAAGATTTTCTCCCTTCATTTCCAGCTCGAGCAAGAAATATGCAAAAAGCTCTTTGTCCGTTCTTTTCAGCAACTGTTACTTGGAATAATTTGTAGAAGATACTTTGGAAGGTCAAGTTGCCCTTTAAGGTTGTGGGGGATGATCTGGCACTGTTGAAAGGCGGTTGATGTGGATGTCAAAAGCTGTTGGCATTTGTCCGTTCAGGATTGAWTGGTTGAGACTCCCTTATGTGATGCCAGTTGCTGTGATCTGGGTTAAATTGTAAGAAATTAGTTTCTAAAGCAGGCCCTGATGAGCCAGGAGATGGGATGACAGGAGGGAAAATAGGATGCCATTCAGAGTTTGTTCTAGGCTGGCTGCAAGGAGGTTTCTTCTGGGATTTTGTTGGCAAGCAGACTGCTGGGAGTGGATGGTCCCTTCCCTTACTTAAGATAGGAACACAAATGTAGTAAGAATTATATTTTGCTGGGGTTTTGTGCTGGTTTTGACCCCAGAAGTTTCAAAATTAGATGAAAAAGTGCCAAGAGCAAGTTCTRCACCAGCAGGAAGGATCCTTCATAAATCAAAGAACAAATAGCTCTGTGGTGTAGATAATGTGTTTCTGGAAGGTAACCATGGATGATGGCAAACATACAACCATTTTTCATGGTGTCTCTAGGCAATTRTGAAGATACTTTGTCAATGGTGATAGGAGGAGGGGAGAAGGGCAGAATCCTCCTTAAAATTCTCCATACTGTGTTGCAAAGCACGAGGAGGAATGGTTTTCTGTGTGGGTTTTGTTACTTGGCAGGATCCACTATGACTAAATCTCCAAAGACTGCTGTTTCTTTTTATTTTTTTTCTTTTCTTTAAAGTTGCCTTTATTTATATATAATACAGTTTCTAAGTGAAAAAACCGACCTCACCTTATGAGACCGTGTATGGGAGTTTATAAAATATAAAATGTTTCTGTCTGCTCCCCATGACTGGAAAACCCTGGAAGGCTCAGTCGAGTCAGTCACTTGTCAGAGCTCAGAGCTCCCCTGTTAATCACAAGTAGCATGTGCAAAAAACGTCTGACCCAGATCCACCAGTGATCCTCTTCACTTGGGCCACAGCTGCACTCTATTTTCTTCCTTCATATTGTTACATCTGTCSGCTTTATTGTTTTCTTAATGCTCATCATGCAGTGAGGAGTGTTTTTCTGAAATTGTGAATTAAATATGTTGTTTTAAGAGGAACAAAGCCAAGTGGCTCATGCAACAGCCTGACTTTAGTATCCCTGGTTAACAAAACCCTTGCCTAAAGCAAAGCCAAAGCACCTCACAGGAGTTCTTTCAGTGGGAATTATTAGAATTATTTATTAAATTAAAAAAAGACATTTCTGCACTTTTATGATTTGGGTTGGACGAAAGTCAGCATCAGATACTTTTTGCTTAAATTGTTAACTTTGAAAGCAAATGATAAGCAAACCAAAATAAATAAATGACTCTATTTTATGAAATGGCGATGTAATGGGAACCAGAGTGGTATCCAGGCAGCCTGCAGATGTTCTGAAACTGCAATCTCTGGCTCTGTTTGGGACACAGAGCGGGTCTGCCTCTGCCACCATGGCCTGGATTTACAGCAAGCCCAGCTCGGCTCTGCATGGCCATGGCTTGGATTCTGTAAATCTGGGGATTTGGGGAGGGGGGATTCGTAGGAGGTGTGGAACAACAGCATTGTCCAGCTAAAAGACTGTTTCTAATCAGTTTTTAGTAATCAGTCAAGGAAATGTAAGCATTAGATATGTTTGGGGTTTAATTAGTTTGCTTTCTGGAAATCCTTTGCCTGTTAGTCTGCGAAAAATTGCAGCTGTCAGCTAAAATTTGGGCAASAATCCTGTGTAATTGTTTTGGAATGGATTCTTCTGAGGATGCCCAAACTTAGATTGAAGCTCCTAAACTGTGGTTGTCCTGAAAGTGAGAATGTTTAGGACAGGGTGAAATGGAGCAGGACAGGCCCAGGAGCAGAGTGCTGAGTTCCCTCGACATGTCCTGCTGTACATCAGTAGCTGCACCAGGCTCTTGTACCCACCCTTGCCTGCAGAGAGCAGCTGATACTGTAAGGCTTCTGGCTTATTGTAGCTTTGTCTAACAAATCTACAGAATGTACACCCATTTCCTCTTTAAAATGAAACAAGCCTGCAGTAAGACCACTTATTTCCTTTCCCCTCCCTTTTCCACAGCTGTAATGCTGTTTACTGCAAGCACTCGAGAAACGCTAAATGGGGGTTAATAATGTTCCAAAGTGTTTGGCTTTTTGCTGTTTCTTCTCTTCACCAGATTCTTTTATGTCTGCATTAAACACAGTTTAGCTTCTTGTGCAAATTGGCTGAACAGCACATGCAAAAAAAAAAAAAAATTTCATTTATTTAAAAAGAATTATTTATTTGCTCTCTCAGTACTGCAAGTCCAGCTGGTTTCAAGTCAGACCAATAGRGTAAGTTGGAAATTGTGTGGAAATAACACAAAGCCCTGTGTTAAACTTGTCCTTTTCCCTGGCAGTGTTTGATTATCGGCGGTGGCCCCTGTGGCCTGAGGACTGCCATCGAACTCGCCCTCCTGGGAGCCAAAGTGGTGGTGGTGGAGAAGAGGGACACCTTCTCCAGGAACAACGTGCTGCACCTCTGGCCTTTCACCATCCACGACCTCCGGGGACTGGGAGCAAAGAAATTCTATGGAAAATTCTGTGCAGGATCCATCGATCACATCAGTGAGTATCTGAGGGCATGGGCACTGTTCAGATAAGAGATTAGCAGGATCAGAAGATTAATGGAGACTTTCCTGGTTTAGCAGAAAGTTCATCCACTTAAATGTGTGCAAGAACATGTGTGCACACAGGAAAAAAATGGTCTCATTTAAGCCAAGAGCAACAGAATGAGCTGCAGTCCTATGGAGCAGCTTTTTCTGATAGTCTGGTGCTGTTAAACAATAGGCTTTGATTATGAAGTATGAAGAATATTGATATTTACTCCAGTATGTTGAAGGTAGACACAAACAGCAGAGTGGACGATTTTACAGGGAAATACACTGTAAAATTTTGTATTCTAAAACATGATGGTTAGCAGATCCTTTAAATATCATTAAGAGGCAAACCTCTACAAAAGTATTCTAAGAAACTCAACTGAGTTTTGCCTGCAAGATTGTGCTGCGGGAGGAAAAGGAGATGGAAGAGAGCAACATCCTGTGGTGGTTGCTACGTTTGCATTCATTCCAGCATGGGGAACAGCAATACTGCATGCTTGTGTCAACACTGAATTTCAGTTCTCTGGCAGACTGGGGGCAGCTGGGATTGTTTGTTCACCAAATACATCTTTGCTACTCACTGTCCACAGGTATTCGACAGCTTCAGCTCATCCTCTTCAAAGTTGCACTCATTCTGGGAGTTGAAATCCACGTGAACCTGGAATTTGTGAAAGTCCTGGAACCTCCTGAAGATCAAGAAAAYCAAAGTATTGTTTATGATAATGTAGTTCAGTTCACAAGAACTTCTTTTTGTGTCCAGTGTTATGTGAGGTCGTTCAAGGCAGCTGAGCTCTGTTTAAAGCAATCAGAGTTTTTTCTTATTCAGCAGCCTTGCTCTGTGCAGTTTAAGTATCAGTGTGTCAGAGTACCAATAAATCTTAAATACAGCCCAGGCTTAGCAGCTGAGGTTTTGCACTATGCCTTCTGGCACGCATTTGAGGCTTTGTAGGGAGTCTGGTGTGGCTTCTTGGGATCTTCTTGCAAAAACAAATTTTGATTGATAATATAAATATCGAGGATGGATTAAGCGCCCAGGGCCTTGTTTTGCTTTCATATTTGATGAAACTCCCACTGGCACATGGAGTCTTATCAGCATTCTTATGCAAGATTTTTAAACAATAGAATAARATTTCTCATTTTCTTTCTACTATTTTTTAATATTAATATTTAGGATGTGGTAGTAATCGTATTTTTTAAAAAATTACTTTAATTAAAATACTATGTTCTTTCTTTAAAGGGTTGTATAATGACAACAAAACATATATTGGTTTAAGCAGTTAAAGTATATATGATTTTAAAATAGGGACACTACAGACATTTTCACATAATCAACTTTGTCAAAAGATTGTATTTAGCTTTGCGAGTACGTTTCCATTTAATTTCTATTTAGAGGACARTTACAAGCATTGATGATAGAATGCTATTTTTCTTCTTTTACTAGCCAGCTCTYCCTTGCTATAACCACGTGTATGTACTGTCCTGGTAAGGTGGTGTGGGGTTCTTTAGTGAGAATGAAGTGCTTGAACATCTTCTTGTGGAGTGGGTCTGACAGGAAATTACTGAATTAGGTGATGCAGAGAATGAGAAATGCACCTTTACCCTTGTGCCCTTTCCTCAGACTCTGAAATCACTTCTGCTCTAATACTGACGAATGAATAAATATAATCTGTGTTTTCAGAGACTGGTTGGAGGGCTGAGTTYCTGCCCATGGATCACCCTTTGTCAGAGTATGAGTTCGATGTTATCATCGGTGCAGACGGCCGCAGGAACACGCTAGAAGGTGGGTCCATGTCTGGGTTTACACTTATTACTGCTCTGTAGGGTGTCTTGAAGGACCTGAAAGTCAGAGGGGAGCACAAAGCAACAGGTTACCTTTCAATCCATGAGGTCTATGTGGAAGCTGTTACTCCATGTGGTATCTTTTGCTTTTGTTATTAAGTTTTAGCTCAAAAGGCATTTAATGCCATTAAGCTCCTGAGCTCTGTGTGTCTGCCCTGCTACAGAATCGTGGTGCCATTGGCCTTGCTTCAAGTTGAGATAATTATGTGATGATTGAATTGAAGGAGGSTGACAAGGTCCGTGTCAGGAGCTGCACAGCCTTTGCTGCTGTGCTGTGGGTTTGCCCTGTTTGCTCGAGCTGATGACCACGAGTGTTTAATGAGGGCAACTGAGGCACTGCCTCTTTGCAAATGAGACTGAACTTCAGGAGCAGCTTCTTTAGAAACAGCACAAAAGAGAATAAACAGCTCTGAGGTGTGTGGGAGGAGAGGGMTAAATGCTTCCTGAACTTGAGTCACTGCTGAGGATTTGGACCACCTGAGCTGTGTTTCYTAGAGAGACACTCGATAAGCTGCTCCTGCATCACACAAAAAAACCTCTTACTAATTATGTATTTCCCTTTTCACTCTAATTATATCCATGCTAGCTTCCGTTCAATAAGCACACTATTTCCTTTTTTTCTATTAGCTTCATAGTTTGTCTGCTTATTCTTTTMTTTTCCAACCACAATGTGCTTACAGTTAATTCCTTGTGATGCTGAACTGGAAATTTCCCCACATTGTTGTCCAGCAGTCCCCCATAAAAGACTGTTTAAATAGTGAGGTACCAGCAAAGCCTAATTATTCTTACCTCAGCTGCAGACTCTRTTGAGAAGTTAATGTTCTAACCAGGATCTAAGGGAGTATTTTTTGCACCAAAGATATGTACAGAAGCTGSTGTTGTCATATTAAATCTATCTCAGTGAAATAACAAGAGCATATTAAGTACAGAAACAAAAATTCGCAACCAATTAATTTCTTCTTATGAAATACATATATTCTCTGGAGTCATCTACAGTGGGCTAAAAATACTGTAAGGATCCTCTGTCCTACTTAATTTAATTATGGATAAACATACAGATGGAAAAACTTAAATGTGTGACTGCAAGATTGTGGCTTAGTGGGCTTTTTTCTGTGAGAAGTGGAAGCAAAGACGGAGTGAGAGAGCGAGGAACTGCTCAGTTGGGCTCACCTTGGAAATGCAATAGTTAAGCCACTGAATATTTCTCAAGCCCAAAGATCTTTGAAAAGTCTTAGGTGTGTACACCTAAGCACTGCTACAGAGGTTTCCATTTTTAACATCTTTCTCTGCTGCYTTTGACTACTGATCTCTTCCATCTTTTTTCATGAGCTGTTTTACCACCTCTGTGACAAATATCTSATTTGCCATTTAGCATATTAAAAATGTCTCTCTCCTCTGAATTAGACCTGTTCTATTTTCAGATATGTCCAAAACACTTTTCATGTTTCTTTCAGTCATAACTTTTCCTTCTTTAGCTTCTTCCCTTACTCCCCACCCAACCATTTTTTTGAATGAGACTTTTTGACTTTTTAATGAGAATGCAGCACAGCTCCAGTTCCACAGCTGAAAATGGGGAGCAAAAACTCTTTACRTTCAAGGGAATTTTGGAGGAATGGYRGAATCCACTGATGGTGTGGTGATTGAGGAAGTGTAGGAGTAGATGTAGGAAAAATACTGAGCTGACCCTCCCTGAGAGTCCACTTTGAAGTTTCCAGTGGTTTTAATTCTTCTCTTTGCTCACCAGGCTTCAGGAGGAAGGAGTTTCGTGGAAAGCTGGCTATAGCAATCACTGCCAATTTTATTAACAGAAACACAACTGCAGAAGCCAAGGTAGAAGAAATTAGTGGTGTTGCTTTCATTTTCAATCAGAAGTTCTTCCAGGACCTTAAAGAGGAAACAGGTGGGTGCATCCACAATTTTTCCACTACCAAATACAAGAGGCAGCAGAGGGGATCTTTATGTGCCAGGCCACCCTCCTGTGCTGGTAACATCAGTTTTGAATACTCTGTATAAACATTTTCCAAGTGATAATATGTTGTTGATGTCAGAATCTTGCAGATGGAGGTGTCCATTTATGGTMCAGTGGGATATTTTTTTAGCTTGGGCGTTGCCACATCATGGCTTGTTTTAATGTTTAAATTTTTCTCAACTGCAAAAATGTCTGCTATGTTGGACAAATTTGGAAGAGCATTTTCAGGGCCCAGAGGTTTTCTCTTAAGACATGATTTGTTTTGTTTCTATCTGTTCACATGCTGAACAGCTTATACCCTTTGAAAAAGTCTCTGCCCTTCTGGGAGAAGTTTATTCTCAYTTTTTGATGTGTGGAGCTGATAAACTGAGAAGAACTAGAATCTGCCATAAAGACTAAAAATATAAACTGTGAAATATATCTTAATGGAAAGGGTTTCAGAATAGTTGCTTACACTATCAGTAAAAGCAATTCTTGTCTTGATTTACAGCTGATTTTTTTAATTACTGTTGTAACTGAAACCAACCCCCCTGGTTAGAGCTGATGCCAGAGCCCTGGCAACCTGAAAAACACTTTGTTCCCTTGGCACCCAGCTCTACCTGTGAATCAGTTAATGCTGCAGTTAACTGGCTGTTCCCTGAAGGAATGCTGAATAAATTGTGCTGAGGAGGACTCTGGTTGGGTCAGGCCAGTCTCCTCTCTTGGTTCATTTTTCCCACTGRTCCTTCATCCCAGTTGGGAAAATGAACACACCCCAAGAAGGAAAGGGATCAATCTGCTGGGATCAATCACTTGGAGTCAGTGAATGACAGGGACAGGGCACTGCACTTGGTAACAAATGTGTGTCTCTTTTCAGGGATTGACCTGGAGAATATTGTTTACTATAAAGACAGCACTCATTATTTTGTGATGACAGCAAAAAAGCAGAGTCTTCTGGACAAAGGAGTGATTATTAATGTATGTAAAAATGCTGCTTAAAGCCCTGTTTTATTTACTTGGCACAGAATAAGTGTGAACATCTGCATAAACGTTGTTGCATGTTAGATAGGGTGTTTATAGACTTAATCACTTAAGCTCAGGTCACTTGGATCCTTACTGTGATGTTTTTAGAATTTGCTTTTTCCTTCTGTCAGCTCCAAGTTTCTACAGAGAACTGAGACAATGCTTCCTAAATTCATCAGCTCTGAAACTGGCTGAAAGGAGAACTTGACTCACCTTGGGAATACATGGTGTGATCATCACACCAGAAAATAAAAACCTCARTTATTTAAGGGTGAACTTAGCACASTTATGCCCGGCTTTATCAGGCRTATTAGCMAGCAGAAAAACCTACCCTGGGCTAAATTGCAGATCCTCTGAAGTGGCTGAAACACGATAGAAGAAGGCCATAAATCTCATAGGCTGAGCTTTTCAGGGGTGGCTCATCAGAGATGTTTTCCTGACCTACTCTGGTCTGAGTGGAAGTAGAACACCCCCCGAAGTCTGTCTGAACAAGCGGGCTAATAGCGGTTCTGCAGTATCATCTGTGATCAGGGGTCTCATCCAGGATTAGGCTGGAAATAGAACCTGCCTTATTAATAATCACGGCCTTTAACCAGGATGACCTGGGAAGGCAGGGTCCTGCACCACTCTGGCAAAAAAAAAAAAAAAAAACAGCCCAAAACTGAAGAGCAGAAAAGCTGCTGTGATGCAGGTTTGAATGTGGGGTTGTTACTCAGATATCAAATCAAACCTCGAGGCTGAGCCCTGCACGTTTCATCATCATCATCATCATCATCAGTGTTTCTGCTCTGCTTTCAGCTGTGGGGTGCACATGTGCACAAAACCATTGCAGTGATGCTGATAACGTATTTTGATGTGAGGGAGTAAAGTTCTGAAAGTAGCACACCACCAAGGAACTGGGGAATGATAACATTTTGTTGCAAGCAGAGCTGCTTGTTCAGTGTCAGCGAGGAGAGTTTCTGCTYGGGGTGGTACCTGGGTTTGTGCTTTGGGTTTTTTGGAGGAGGTCACAAATCTCACTTGGCTCTTGCTGCTGTGGGATGTCCCATTGTGCTGTCAGACTGCAATGCTCCAGTTCAGRGAGGATTTTGGAGTCTCTCACCCCACACCCTTCTCTCCTTGCAGGACTCCATTGACACGGAACTGCTGCTCTGTGCAGAAAAYGTGAACCAGAGCAATTTGCTGTCCTACGCCAGAGAAGCCGCTGACTTTGCAACCAACTACCAGCTGCCTTCCTTGGATTTTGCAATTAATCACTACGGCCAGCCAGACGTAGCAATGTTTGATTTTACTTCCATGTATGCATCTGAAAAYGCTGCCCTGGTGAGAGAGAGGCACAGACATAAGCTCCTGGTGGCACTTGTTGGAGACAGTTTGCTTGAGGTATATCTTGGAATGCCTTCTAAGTAGTATTTTTTATTTTTTTGCTCTATTTCCTTAATCCAACCATTCAGCTTACCCTCTGATGTAAAATTGTCCTCTTTTACATGTCCTGAAACAGTGGTACCTTCTTTGAAATAGATTTTTTTGTTTTCTTTTCCCTTTTTTTATGCCATAGTTTGTCATAGCTAATGCTTGGCTGGCAGCCCCTGGCTGAGATCCCATTTTGCTTTATGCAAGTTGTGTTTCTCTCCAAAATCTTTGAGCACCATGTCCTCCACTTGGGTGCATGGCATAATTTTCCTGAATTCCATCGTTGACAAAAACTTGATTCAAATTATTATTGCAGTCTCTTTGCCTTAGTATGCTCCTTTGTTTTTTCTTTCTGAAGTGAAAAGTGTATGTAGCAACTCTTTTTCTTGTGTTTTGTTTGTTTTTTTGTTTTTTGTTTAACTCACAGTGACAGCCTGAAGCATTTTAGAAGAACTATCCAAAGCAAATTTAGGAGATAAGAAGGGCATCTTTTTTTTCCTTTGTCTCTCTGAATAATTTCTGAGTCGACTTTCTTTTTCTCCTATAACCTTTCTGAGACTTTATCTTTTGAGGCTAAGAAATTTGTTTTAAAATACATGAATTAAGAAAAGGAAAAAGTGAAAGAAGCAATCTTTTTTCCTTACCTAACACTTGGAGGAGACACACGTTTGAAGCCTGGAAGTCTTGTCTGTGTTGCATTTTGGCTCTTTCTGGGCCGTTTTTCCAAGACAGTGTGAAACCCTAGACTCCAAATTGTCACTGGAAGTTACTTTTGTAATAAGAATGTAAGAAATAGAAGGGATTAAAGTGCAGCTGATTCTTGCAGCCCTTCTGGCCGATGGGTACTGGCTGTGCACGAGGGTTCCTGGCTGCCTTTGACACGGCGTGGATGGTGCGGGGCTGGGCTCAGGGGAAGCCYCCGCTGGAGATCCTGGCTGAACGGTGAGTGCTCTGCTCTGCTTCATCTGCACAAAATCAGAGTCACACCATCTGCAAAAGGATTGCACAATGTCATCAGGAGAAATGGTATTAGCCTCTAGCTTAATCACTAAAATTATSTATGATCCTTAAAGAAATAAAACAAAGATACCTAATACGTATGTATTAAAAAACCAACCCTACATCCATCTCAACACCTGGTTTTTTTTTTTGTTTTAAAAATAATAAAAAAATCCTAGGAGTCTAAATAAATAACAGGTTTCATAGTTGATCTCTTTGATTTTCTCTCTGTGGTGCTCTCTTTAGGCTGATAAAAATGTGGCAAAGGAGAATTATTATAATGCTGTTATAATGCACCATAAGCTTTTTTTGAGTGGAACAAGGAAATCTGTTGTTAAGTACAGCAGCAGTGCTGMTGTCACCATGGTGTGAGGCTGAAGCTGCTGATTTTGGTCCTGCTGGCAGCCCCCCTGCTCTGCTGCAGCTGCCCAGGCTCTTGTGGGGCAGACACATAATAGGAACACACATGTCCTTTTGGGACACGTAATAGGAACAGTCATGGTTGTGGTGATGCAGCAGGAGCTTTGCTAACAGCAGCACTTGGAGAAGTTTTAAGATWGAAGCCTGTGGGATGACTGAGACACAGCCTAGTCCCAAATGGAAAATTSAACAGTACAGTAAAAAAAGCTGTGGTGGTTACAGGAATTGCAGGATGACAGGATAGTGCTGTTATGTGGTAAAGAAGTTACTCCTTGAGTGGATGTTAAAACAAGAACAGATGACTGGATGATGTAACCTTTTTTTTTTTTTTTTAATTTTCCCATCTTTTCCTTGCTCACTTCCTGCCTCAGGAAGATATGGCATAAGCTCTTAAGTGTCTGTCTTGTCCTTCTGTCTGGTGTCCTTCTGCTGAGTGGGGATAAGAAATGGGGTGGGTGCATTATGCATTTAGTCTGTAGCACTTGTCCTGGCAAAACCAAAATAAGGTTCAGGCAGCTGCRAAAAACCTCCAATCTCTTTATATAATAAATATTTATTTTAATATGTAACTCTTGCATCTTTTTCCTCTCTAAGAGAGAGTATTTACCGACTCTTGCCTCAGACGACCCCTGAAAATATTAATAAGAACTTTGATCAGTACACCATTGACCCGGGAACACGATACCCGAACTTGAACTCGAGCTGTGTTCGACCTCACCAGGTCAGTCCTTCAAAGGCTTTCTTGTAAAATCAGTTCTTTTTTTTGTCTAGGATAAATAAAACTGCAAGGAGTGTATAAACAAAATCTTCAGGAAACTCCTTAATGTAGAACCAKCTGCTGATAAAGTTAACCTGGAAACAAAACTGAGGTTTTTTTTTTTGTCTGACATCATTCTGGTAATTGCTTTTCCTTTAGGTGAGACAATTATATGTTACCAATGAGCTGCACCGCTGTCCTCTTGAAAGAGTGAGCTCTATCAGGAGATCAGTGAACCTCACCAGACAGGGTAAGTGGCATCTCATGATCGCTGTGACTTAACATTTGTGGCCTCCAGAGCATGCAAAAACTGACTGAAGTGTTTGCTCTCCATTTCTGCAGAGTCAGACATTCGGCCTAACAAGCTTCTGACGTGGTGCCAGAAGCAGACAGAGGGCTATCGAAATGTCCACATCACTGACCTGAGCAGCTCCTGGAGGAGTGGGCTGGCACTGTGTGCCATCATCCATCGCTTCAGGCCTGACCTCATGTGAGTGACCCTGCACAGGCTGGGGAGAGTGTTAGTGCTGTGAGAAACCAGAACAGCTGACACCCTACAGCCCTCTGCAAGAGACTGCACACCAGCTTTAGGGGCTGCAGAGGCTGGGGAGAGGTGTTCACCAGAGAATGGTGTGGGAAAACAGAACTGACACCCTACAGCCCTGTGTGAGGAGCTGCACACCAGCTTTAGGGGCTGCAGAG